AATTCAACCCAGGGGTGCTTTACAACTGAGCTACATCTTTAACCCTTTTTATTTTTATTTTGAGAGAGGGTCTCACAAATTTGCCTAGGTTGGCAATCTTCCTTCCTCAACCTCCTGGGTTGCTGGGATTATAGGCATTCACTATCATACCTGACTCTTCTTCTTTTTTTTGGTACTGGGATTGAACTCTGGGGCACTCAACCTCTGAGCCACATCCCTAGCCCTGTTTTGTATTTTATTTAGAGACAGGGCCTCATTGAGTTGCTTAGCACCTCATCATTGCTGAGGCTGAGGCTGGGTTTGAACTCACAATCCTCCTGTCTCAGTCTCCCGAGTCTCTGGGATTACAGGCATGCGCCACTGCACCCAGCCTCATATCTGACTCTTAAAATTATTTTTTTGTGTTAGACTAACCAACCTGTGAAGCCTCTTATATTATACTGGATTTTAGCCAAAAGGCCAAGAAGTGATCTATAGCTTCTTCTAACTTAAAAATTTTAATTCTATATCAAAGCCAGCCTTTGATAGCAATAGTTCTAGACTCTTCCTACAACCAACCTCTTGCTAAAGCTGCTCAGAAGCTTAACATATCAACTTGAAGCTAATTCCCTTTCAAAACAAGGGCTCTAAAGTCCATCTTTTTGGTATTGGGGATTGAACCCAGGGGCACTTAACCACTGAGCCACATTCTCAGCCCTTTTTAAATATTTTATTTAGAGACACGGTCTTACTGAGTTGCTAAGTGCTTTGCTAAGTTGCTGAGGCTGGCTTTGAATTCACAATCCTGCCTCAGCCTCCTGAGTCATTGGGATTACAGGAGTGAGCTACTGCACCTAGCTCTAAAGGCTTTTCAAATTTGATATATTTTCCCCACTTTGGTACCAGGGATTGAACCCAGGGGTGCTCAACCATTGAGCCACATCCCCAGCCCTTTTCATTTATTTATTTCATTTTGAGACAGGGTATTGCTAAATTGCTCAGGCCTCGTTAAATTGCTAGGCTAGCTTTGAATTTGTGATCCTCCTGCCTCAGCCTCTCAAACCACTGTAATCTGATGGTTTATAACCAAGTCAAAATTTGCGTATTATCTTAGAGGTTAATTTATGACTTCCATAGAAGTTTCTAGTTTTTTTTTTTTTCAGTGTTAGGGATTGAACTTTGGGGTGCTTTGCCAATAAACTATATTCCAAGCATGTTTTATTTTTTATTTTGAGACAAGGTCTTGCTTAATTGACCAGGCTGGGTTTGAATTTGCAATGCTCCTGCTTCAGCCTCCCAAATATCTGGGATTTCAGGTGCTACTGCACCCAGCTAAATTTCTAGTTGTTAAGAAAGGAAACATGCATCTTAAAGCCCTGGTATTCCTATTTATTAATTTATTTTGAGGTGCTAGGGATCCAAACCATGGACTAAGCTACATTTCCAGCCCATTTAAAAAAATTATTATTTTTTAGTTGTAGTGGGACACAATATCTATTTTTTTAAAAGAGAGAGTGAGAGAGGACAGAGAGAGAGAGAGAGAATTTTTAATATTTATTTTTTTTTAGTTCTCAGCAGACACAACATCTTTGTTGGTATGTGGTGCTGAGGATCGAACCTG